TAATAATGTAAAACGACGAATCCCACTTTACTTAGGTCTCTTCTTTTTTTGTATATCTATAAATAGGATTGATCTTACGTTTTTTATATTTGCCGCTCGTGCCTTTACCCTGGGCACTTACGGAGCTCTATTCCTGTATACTGTAGAAGTGTATCCTACAGCTCTACGTGCTCAAGCCGTGGTCAGTTGTCAATTTTGGGCTAAACTTGCTGGAGCTGTAACACCTTTTGTTGCACAGGTAAAGGAAATTCAAATATGTGGCGTTTGTGCAGGTATGGCTCTAAAATATATTCCACAAGAACAAAGCTGTTCAACAGGGGGTAACCATTCCTGATGGATGGGAATGGGGCTGCAGGGCTCAGGTCAAGTCCAAGGGAAATTGGGTAAAAGCCATCTAGGATGCGATTTTTTTTTTTGTAATATTGGGTCATTTAAAGTTGTTTAGGATCTACAACTTATTATGCTTATGAATTAGTTAAGTCTGGAGTTACGAGAGTCCTAAATAACCATGCTTGGTAACTTGACTCTAAGATACCAAAGTTAGGCCTATATGAATAAAATAGGTCTATACAAGCTCAAATCTATAAATCAAAGCAAACTTTGTATATTTGTATAGATTTAACAGGCTCATGTATTCGTATAAAAACCTATATATATGGCATATATCTTATTTTAAATTAAGTTTGGCATTGTTCTCTGCAGGGCTTGTTTGCAACATCGCAGTTTTGGGCAATGGCGGCCTACCTATTTACCTGTCTCATCGCTGGAATAGCTACTATTTTTCTACCTTTGGATCCTACCGGTGAACTTCGAGAGGTAGGTCTAATTCTAATTCCAAACTGTTTGACCATTTGCAATGCATTTGATTTAAATGATTCGGATTGTGAAAATACAGGGTTTTTTTTTGTTTTTTTGAGAACGGGGCCCGTAAGATGTCATGAAAATGCATAGGATATCGTTTTTATTATTTTATTATTTATATATTATTGCAGAATATGTGACGCATACATGACAGTGGTGCCGGGTCTAAACGTATTCCGTAATTAATCTGGAGACTCGTGTGGTCAGGCTTTCCGGGCAATGGGGCATGATGTTATGGCTGGTTGCCTCTTAACATAAAGAAAGATGGTAATGTCAGGACAGTGCGAATGCTGGTGTACAGATCTGGTATCGGACATATGTCAATTTATACACAGGCAAATGGTGGAGTGAGACGTATGGTAACTCGCAACTTACAGGACAGTAGTGCTGTTAGAGCTAGGCTGATTTTTAACAAACAGTTGCATGGCNNATGTTTATCCAGTACCCGACCGAGTTACATTTTCTCGCAATTCACATTGGCGGATCTGGGGGGAGGGGGGTCATGGGTCCTGACCCCTCCCTTGGGCAACAAAAAAGGGGAAAAAGAAAAGAATTCTAGACCTACATTTCAGGACCCGTGAGCTGATTTTTTTGTTGCTATTAGAAAATTAGAATTTTTTTTGTTGCTATTAGAAAATTAGAATTTTGAAGAACATAAAATTCATTAAAGCTCAATTTCCGCCATCTAGGAATCAAAATTTTCCCGGGGGAGAACCCCGGACCACGGAAAAAAGAATACGCATGCAACTACTTATTTGTTTATGTACCGTATGTATACACACATAAAATAAAAAATGAGAAAAATTTACCTGACCTTTTTGAAGAGGGGAAAACCTTGAATTTTGAAGAACTTTAAAAGTCATTAAAAGACATTTCAGAAGTCAGGTAAGCTCATCTCCCGCCATCTAGAAATCGAAATTTTCCGGGGAACCAGGACCCCTTTTATCTTTGGAGTTCATTGATTAATTGAATCATTTTCAAGGGGGAGGGGGAACCTTGAATTTTGAAGAATTTAAAAGTCATTAAAAGACATCATAGAAGTCGGGAAAGCTCATTTCCCGCCACCTAGGAATCAAAATTTTCCCGGGGAAGAACCACAGGACTTCCCCTCCCCCACCTTTCTTTTTGGGATTTATCGATTCATGGAAAAACTACGTATGCAACTTACTCAATCTTTTTTTTATGTATGTATACACACATAAGGCCTATTTACTGTAATAACAATGGGAAAAAAATTATCTGACCGTTTTCAAGAGTGGAAAACCTTGAATTTTGAAGAGCTTAATTGAATTTTGAAGAACTTTAATTACTTTTAAGTTCTTCAAAATTCAAGGTGTTCCCCTCTTGAAAATTATTATAATGAATCAATGAACCCAGGGAAAGGGATGTTCGAGTTCTTCCCGGGAAAATGTTGATTTCTAAATGGTGGACAATGAGATTTCCCGACTTCTGAAGTATTTTTTTAATAACTTTAATTTAAAAGACACCTCAGAAGTCGGGAAAGCTCATTTCCCGCCTTCTAGGAATCAAAATTTTCCTGGGGAAGAACCCCCTTTCTTTTTGGCATTCATCGATTCATTGAAAATTCGTATGCAACTACTCATTTTTTTTAAAAATTGTTATGTATGTATACACACATAAGCCCTTTTTACTGTAATAAAAATGGGGAAAAAATACCTGAACGTTTTCAAGATGGGAAAACCTTGAATTTTGAAGAACATAAAAGTGATTAAAAGACACCTCAGAAGTCGGGAAAGCTCATTTCCCGCCATCTAGAAATCGAAATTTTCCCTGGGGAGGAATGTTGACCCCACCACCTAGATTTGATTCCAGATCTGCATGATTCATATTCCCATTCATCTTATAAACAGTGGCGTAACAGGCGGATCAGGGGGGCAGACTGTTCCCCCCACTGACGGTTTTTACTGGGCTGATCAAGCCGTCGTACCGGGCTGGGTAAGAAGAGAAAAGAAAGAGGGGAGAGGGAGGGAAAGAGAAAGAAGGGGAAAGAAAAAGAAAGGAAAAAGGAAAAGAGAAGAGAAAAATAAAGACAAGAATAAAAAGGAAGATATAATGAACAGATATCACAATACCCCTGCCTGCAACCCCTTCTCCACTTCAAAAAGTGTCCATAGCGCATTTGATCTATAAGCCGCCAGGTATTCTCCGCAGTGGCGTAATCACCGGGGGACAAGGGGAAAATATCCATCTGTGGAAAGTCTTTCCCCATTGAATGCCCTTTTCACCCGGGAAAGTGCCTGGAAATCTCAAATATTTTAAATCGCATATTTTGTTGAGGTAGGCCAATTTCCTCTAAAAATTGCACATTTTAGGGAGTTCTGATCAATTCCGACGAAATTAGAATTTTAAAAAACAAAAATTTTCCGCGCGCTGCGCGCGCATTTTTTCATGTTAAAGCTTGTGCTTGCTCCCCTTTGCCTTCAAAGTTATAACACATAGTCCCAAACTCAAGAAAGAAAATTTAAGATAGATCGTTTTACCTATTAAAGAAGGGCCTCAATGTGTAATGATGTTGAAAGAATATGTTTGTAATAAATAAAACCATAAGGAAAATGCTTATATTCAGTTTAAAAAAAACGAGTGTGGTCATATGTAACATAAGAGCATTTCTTGTTGAGGTTAGGCCAATTTCCTCTAAAAATTGCACATTTGAGGGAGTTTTGATCAATTCCGACGAAATTAGAATTAAAAAAACAAACATTGTTCGCTCGCTTCTCGCGCATTTTTGAATGTTAAAGCTTGTGCTTGCTCTCCTTTGCCTTCTAGGTTATAACACATAATCCCAAACTCAAGAAAGAAAATTTAAGATAGGCCTAGATCGTTTTACCTAAAAGAAGGGCCTCAATGTGTAATGATGTTGAAAGAATATGTTTGTAATAAATAAAACCATAAGGAAAATGCTATATTCAGTTTTTAAAAAACGAGTGTGGCCATTGTTAACATAAGAGCATTTCTTGTTGAGGTAGGCCAATTTCCTCTAAAAATTGCACATTTAGGGAGTGTTTTGATCAATTCCGACGAAATTAGAATTAAAAACACAAAAATTTATCGCGCGCATTCGTCAGGGTCAAAGCTTGTGCTTGCCCTCCTTTGCCTTCTAAGTTATTAAAAAACATAATAGTCCCAAAAACTTGAGAAAGAAAATTTAAGATAGATCGTTTTACCTAAAAGAAGGGCCTGAATGTGTAATGATGGTGAAATAGGCCTATGAATTGTAATAAATAAAACCACGATGAAAATGCTTATATTTAGTTTCAAACACACGTGTGTGCTCTATATTAATAATAAAATAAGTCATGTCGTATTGTATCACACCAAGTCATAAATTACTAAACGGGAAAGTTATTACCTTTGCCCCAAAACCACCCCCCCGACCCAAGACCCCTGTTACGCGCCTGCTTATAAGTGGGGCCCCCACTTTGAAAAACGTTCCGCCGGCCCTGCAGTGCAATGTCTTAACTAGGTTGACTTTGAACATACAGAACAGTGGTGGTGTCAGACCTAGCATTGTCAACGTTCTGGACAATGGTGGGGTTAGAGCTGATGACACTCAATATAAAGTACAATGGTGAAGTCAGACCTACGGTGACTTCTTGCATACTGGACAATAATGATGTCAGACCTAGGTTGACTCTCAGCATATGGGACAAGACCCTGGCCAACACTTAATATTGTAGTCGATACGAACTTGATTACGTAAACCATTCTGGACCATCACATATAAATAGGATAATAGCTTATAACATTTAACAAGTTCTCAATATTTGACATGTATTGGATGGTGCTTAAAAATAGGTTATGCGAACAGAGTCTGACTTCAATAGAGTCTGACTTTTTTGTTTTTATATATTTACTGCCTTACGATGCACATCAAAAAAAAAAAAAGTGATTTTATCTATTAAATAAGTATGAACACTAGATTGTTCCTATGCCCAATAACCTTTCCCCCTCTCTTCGCTTCCTCTCTTGGATTAGATCAATGTTGTTAACGTGGTCTTAGTATGACATTATAATTGACGTGAGGGCTACACACAAGTAGTGAATTAAAATTATGGAGATACCAGCAGGCTTACCGTATATATAGTGAATAATAAATTCATATTTTTAAGATGTACAGTATATACAAATATATATTATGTGAATATTAGATGTATTGAAATAAACTAAATATTAATGTAGAATTGGCCAACACTTAATATTGCAGTCGATACGAACTTGATTACGTAAACCATTCTGGACCATCGCATATAAATAGGATAATAGCTTATAACATTTAACAATTTCTCAATATTTGACATGTATTGGATGGTGCTTAAAAATAGGTTATGCGAACAGTATTGATGATCGTTTCCTCTCTACTTCAATAGAGTCTGACTTTTTTGTTTTTACATATTTACTGCCTTACGATGCACATCAAATAAAAAAAAAGTGATTTTATCTATTAAATAAGTATGAACACTAGATTGTTCCTATGCCCAATAACCTTTCCCCCTCTCTTCGCTTCCTCTCTTGGATTAGATCAATGTTGTTAACGTGGTCTTAGTATGACATTATAATTGACGTGAGGGCTACACACAAGTAGTGAATTAAAATTATGGAGATACCAGCAGGCTTACCGTATATATAGTGAATAATAAATTCATATTTTTAAGATGTACAGTATATACAAATATATATTATGTGAATATTAGATGTATTTAAATAATCTAAATATGAATGTAGAATGAATAATATAGTGCATTATATATATATATTTATATATTTCATAGTGAGTTCATTCAACTTGTGGGCTTGAATAATAGTGTATTATATATATATATATATTTATATATTTCATACAACTTGTGGGCTCACACATAGTGGAGCCAATTTTAAAGCTACGTAATAACTTAGGAAGCAGCTGGTGAGTCATAGCAAATAATATTCAAATCAATTTACTGCTTAGCACTTAAATAATGTATAAATCAAATAGACATCTATTTTATACCATCATGTTCCTATATATTTCAGCACTATATATATATATATATAATATCTGTCTCTTATACACATCTCCATATAATTTATTTAATTTTTCCATAATTTCTCATGTTTAGCCATTCTTTTTTGTTATTAAATTTCCCTTGATTTTCCTCAGCATGCTTCCTTTAACTTCTAGTATATTACAGATTAACCTTCTACTCAATCCTCGTGGTAGGCCTATATGTCTCGCAAACCTAATTTTTCGTTTCATGAAACTTGGTTTTAAACAAAATAAATAATAACAGTGCTCGTGACATCATGTTTCTAATATTCGGGCACTGTTATTATTATTTATCTATTTGTTTGCACGTATATATACTTAAAAAAATTGAATTGAATAAACATGGATAATATATATGGATATATGCCTACAACATGCACAAACATTGTGCATTCAGTAAAGCTGATGAAGGCCAGAGGACTGGCCGAAAATTTCTTTCGAAAATAAATACAATGTTCAATAGTCTACATGCCTTGTTGTCATAATTTTTTGTTTCATCGACTGTCTTACCTAGGTTTACTTAGGCGATGTACTGGACGCAGGACTAATGTCCTCTATGTCCAGATCCAAATTTGTTGATCCTGGAATTCTCGATGCTTGTTTTATGGTCCGAAACTGGTTGATCCTTCCAGAACTTATCTAGTCTGTTCTCGAACGCATAGAGAGAGGGAGCTGTTACAACTTCATTCGCAGAGCCGTAGATAGAGAGAGTTTGGCCAACACTGTTTCATGGGATTCGATATACGCGCGTGTGATTGGGTGGATCGCAATCACATGACTTGCACCGGCCATGTTGTCACCAAAACAAAACATTAAAGCTACACGCGCGCATGCGCCTGGGCTGTTTGGTAACGACATGGCGTCCATGCGCCAAGTTGGCCAAATTCTCTCTATATTTACGGCTCTGTTCATTCGGGAGTGCATTCAAATTGTCTACAATGCGATTGCCAAAGGAAAACCTATCAGAGTAACTTAAACCCTTCAACCTAGCAACAAGTCTAGTAGCTCTACGTTGCACGTTCTCGATCAGGTCGATGTGTTTCTCTAAATGCGGGCACCAGACTGAGACACTATACTCAAGATGGGGTCTAACAAAAGCCTTATATAGTAATAAAAAAACAAAACATCCAACTCCATGTAGGTAAATACACATCTTATGAGTCCCATTAATCTATTTGCTTTATTAACTTTCTCAAGGATATGAATTTCAAATGACAATTTAGAATCTATGGTCACTCCTAAATCTTTCTCAGAAAGGACATTCTCTAAATACTGGTCACTATTAATAGGATCAAAAGAGTAATTGTACTGTTGAACAGCAACATTTCTCCTTCCTAACGGTAAAACTTTACATTTAACCAAGTTGATGACCATTTCATTTCACTCTCAAGATAGTCTCAAGATAAGTCATGTGAATTAGATAAATATTTTTGTATAGTGAGTAATTTCTATGGGTCTACAGGACTTTAAATAGGTCAATTAAAGGGATCAATAACTATGGATAAGGAATTGCAGAGTTTAATGCATTTCTTATAGAGAAAAACAAAACGAGACAGGGAGACATTATTTACCGTATGTGTTAGTTTTTGTATTGTTTCTGGCAATAAAGAATAAGAATAAGAATATGTACAGTATATTATGCCTATATTGTATTGTATCTTAGTATTAACCACATACTTAGTGCATTCCACCAAAAACTTAATACATTATGTAACAAAATTAAAATATGCACAAAGGGACACAAATAAATCATTACAATTAATACAGACTAGTATAATAGATTTAATTCATTTTTGTTGCAATTTTAGTAGGCCTATTATATAACTGTTTACATGGAAAACAAAAAGAAAAAAAAACTAAGCTACAGACTTATTTATGGATAACAATCTAAGTTTGGTTATAAATAGTATTTATAGTAACATTACTCATGCTAGTCTAAAAATAAATTTCAACTAATTTTTTAAAATCAATATATATCGGGCAAATACATTTTAGGTTTTTATTCAATATTTTACGTCCTGATTCTCTTTATATAATATACACATATACATATACATACATATACATATACATATACATATACACACATATACATATACATATACATATACATACATATACATATACATATACATATACGTATATATATAAATATACATATACATATACATACACATACACATACACATAAACACACATACACATACATATACGTATATATGTATATGTATATATATATATATACATATACGTATATATGTATATGTATATATATATATGTA